TCTTGTTAAATTTCCAATAAACGAGCAGCGTTCCTCTGTTCCTTTTTCCCCTCCCTCTGCGTGCTCCGGGAGCACCGAGGCAGCAGATACATCTGATTTGACTGTTAAAGTGCATTTATTAAGCCAATGTTAGACTGAGACACACATTTACTATAATTTCAAGCAAACAAATAATTGTTTTTAAGTGTTAAGCTTATTAAATTCTTGTTAGTCCTCCTGTGCATGCCGCCATTTGGCAGCAAATCAATTTTTGGCACAACACCAGCCCACATTTCTGAGTTGTCAGCGGTGACGCGTAATAGAGGCGACGTAAACTGTGAAGAGATATATTTATGGATTTTTCCACTTTTTAGACATATTTGAACTGATGCAACTTATACGACGGTGTGATGGTTACGGCAGAAAATACGGTAAGTGGGTGGAAATTTTCAAACGTCAAGGCTATAGCCAATCCAAATATATCTACATATTTTTAAACAAAACAACAACCCTCCCTGACCGAGAGCAAACTGCAGTGACCCGTGCCTCAGCGTGCAGTTACAGCCCAGTGATCAGCTAACAGTTCAACCAGTTTAACCTTCAATGAAGGCATTTTATCATCTCGGATTAGCAAGAGATTATACAGTTTATCGGTGGCAGCTGGAAGACATTGATTACTGAAATTGATCTGGAGTATTTTATCTGTTCCGCTGCTACAAACTTGATGTAAACAGGACATATTGTGGTGAAAAACCATTTACTGGGCTCCAGAACCTGCACCTAAAAAGGTGTATCTGTTCCAAATCACCTCCTTATCTGGTTAGTGGCTTATTAAGCAGCTGGACACGTGCAGGTCTATAGGATTCCTCTTTAAAAATTATCTAAAAGCTATTCAATTTATTCTTTAAGCCGTGTCTAGATGGCATCAAATTGAACATTGTTATGTTTGTTGTTCCCAGCCAAGTAATGAAGTTTTAAAAAGTCATCACAGACTCCCTTGGAATGAAGAGTAGGAATCATTTAGCAAAAACCTTCAGCTTGAGATCAGGCTGATGTTTCTGGGATAGCGTTGTGATTTATGGCCCGAGCCCGACATGAACCCGACCTGAAAGTCGGGCCGAGTGGAGCCACAATTATGTGCTTGATGGATGGGCCAGGTTGGGCTTTGTTGGTGCAGTTTTACGAATAATACAGCACAAAGAAAACTAAATAAGAATGCACGATACAAAATGGTGTTAATCTACTTGTTGAGGAGGAGGCAGTAAGTTTATATGTTGAGGACAAGGAAAGAAACGAGTGCAGCAGTTAATCAAGACTGTGAAAAAAAGAAAGTAGTGCAGGAGCACCGAACAACCAATCGTGGCCCCGCCCACTCTGCTTTGCTTGGGTGTTGGTTAAATCGCTCCATCATCAGCGACAGCGTGACTCAGGTTAATTTTGCACGACTTCCTTTTAGATCTAAATTAAAATAGCCTTGTTCTATATTTTTCCAAATAATTTTGCTCTAAAAATATTTTTGTTCATCTGTATCAGCCTGTCTTTAGAGGTGATTTTTTTTTAGGCTATTTGTTTCGTATGTTAAAGATTTCCATTTGGTGATCTTGCATCTTCGTTTCTTTGAAATACGTTTTTTTAAAACTATCATGTCAAACTGATTTGCTTACAAAAGCAATAAAAGCTTAATTAAAATAACATGTCGGGTTTGCTTCAGGTTCCGGCCTCTAATTAGAGTTATTAGTCAGATCGGACACGTTAATGGGCTCCGGCTGGATGTTTTAGGCCCGAATGCAACTCTACTCTGGGACCAACCTGTAGTAGGCGAGCTGCAGCGCCACCTGGAGGAAGGAGTTGGGACTCAGGTTGTGCTTCTTGGGAAGCTTCGTGCCGAACCTCTTGAAGTTGAACACAGTGACGTCGAGGTCGTTGATCAGTCTGCGGAAGAAAAGCCAAACGGGTTTTCATTCGTTATAAAACTATTATGTTTCAGCTCAGAAGTCATGGTTTTCAGACAAAAACACTCAAACAGATCTCAGTTTGAGTGGCCATGCGGGAAAAGTGATAATTTAGTCTGTTTAGGATTAGGAGTTTGCAAATTAAATGTAAACATTTTGCAAATAAGATAAAAAACCTTCACATAAAGCATGCAGATACACTTTAAACAGGAAATAAACAGGTTAGCTTTAACATTTTTATGCACGTTTCATTCAAAATTTTACAAATTAAATGTTACTTTTCCAACCAGGCCCAATATAAAACCTAACAGGACATCACAGATGCGTTCATTTTTACAAAATACATACTAATAAACTCCACACAACATCGATGCAGCAAGACTTATGCAGCTTCTAAAGGCTCAAAAGCTGCCGCTAAAAATCTATGAATCTCTTCGTCTGTGAAACACATCTGTGTTTCTCTCCACATAAAGAAAAGTTCGATTCTTTAGTAAAATGTTAGCAGATCAAAGGCTGCTGAGTGTTAATATTCAGCAGAGCGTGGAGGTTTTAGAGTTTAGGCTGTGACCGTGAAAACAGCGATGAGAACGTTACGTCTCTGAGATTTGTTTACGTTTCTGTGGCTTGACGTGTGTTCTGCTGAATGTTAAAAGGAAAAGCAGCTGAAGCTGCGCAGCGAGGATCAAATTCAAAGCCTGCTCCGCCCTCGGGCGAGCAAACCGAAGCTTACATGTCGAGGTTCTGCTTGGCCAGCTCAATGTCCCTCTTGATGTCTCGATCGATGTGAAAGTACAGCTTCTTGGGCATCGGGAGGGGAACCAGAGGCGCTCTCTTTGGGTCTGGTTTATCACTGCAGACCAAACAACAAACATTTAAACACTTTATGGATCATAGTAGTTATAAGCACCAGTTTCTTCCCCAAGCAAACTGGTTAAATGTGCTTATTAACACTCTGCAGCCTTTAGATGCAGCTGTAGCGCCTCCAGCAGATGTTCAGACACAAAAATGCATTTAATAAAGACCTAAGAGCAGCAGGAATAAACAGCCCCTGCACGTTGTTTACAGCACAGCTCTGGTTGTTTCAGTGTGTTTACAGCTGCAGTCTGTGGTAAACAGAAACGCAGCTCAGAGGCACGCAGTCTCTGATGACCCCACGGGACGCATCAATAGTCCCATACTGACCTCAAACCAAAGGAAGAGGAAGCTGTGATTTTCTCTCAGATTGTGTCTGAGCTAAAATAATCTAAGAGCTTTATTACATTAATCAGCTCCATCAGACGTTAGACGCTCACGGGAGCGTGCACGAGAGGATTTTAACAAGATTAACACTTAAAAACAATCGTTTGTTTGCTTGACATTACAGTAAAGGTGTGTCTCAGTTGAACTTTTACTTAATAAATGCACTTTAGTGATCAAATCAGCTGCATTTCCCCTGGGGAGCGCAGCAAAATGAAGCTGATTTGACATTTGCTCCAGGCGAGCTGGACGAAGGTGGCTTTACGGCAAGCCGATTGTGTCATTAATAGGCACTTTTACCTATTACATGACAACGGCATGCCATACTACTCGAGTGCCATCTAGTGGCTGAAAATGGTAGTGCTCAATATTTTCAGTCAGAATGAATGGAAACAGTCATATCAGCCAAAAATTGTTCATAAATATGGAAAAATTTCAAAAATACGTTGCTTCACCGTACAAGTCGCAGGGCATGCAAATTATGCCCCCCCCCCCCCCCCCCCCCAAAAAAAAAACATGACTTATAGGCCCAAAAAAAAAAAGGTATGTGTGTATTTTTTAACTTGTGCAGACAGTTTCAGACAGTGGTGATCGACCCAAAACAAGTCTCTCTAACTCTGGTCCCAGTAAACCCCCAGGACTGCACAAAGTGGTCTGGACTGACAGTTCTGCAGACTTTTTGATGGTCTTCTGAAGCTTTTATTTGGACTCTGGTTGTTTTTTTTTTTTACCTTTTTCAGTTGAGGATTCAATGATGCATCTCTCTGGTTCTGGTTCAGGTCATGGCTGAATTTTATTTTTTACAACATTCAGACACTGTTCATCCGAAGGAAATATATTCAGACATAATCAAAGTAGCAGGTCTAAAGAAAAGCCTGCAGAACTTATTGTCCCTTTGAAGCTCAGTGGGTGGATTTAAACGTTATGCACTGAATATTTCCTGGATTATTGCCTTTGATCTCACCAGTACTCCAGGATGTGATGCAGCAGGTTGGTTATGGGCGGACCCTCAGCTGTGGCCTGTTCGTACAGGAGGCCCCACGATCCGTCTTCTCCCACCACAAACTGTTCAAACAAACCCAGAACAGTCAACCCACTGCAAATCTGCTTCTCAGAGTTGATTTTCACCTCAAACCCACCTGCAGAGTTTTGTCGAACCAGCGGTTTCCACTGTTGGAGAATGTCCCGCCCCCGTGCAGCACCTGAGCTGCCTTCCGGCTGGCGTACCTGTCAGCCAAAGTTTGGACAAAACACGATATCACACGCTGTACCCAGCGGTTCGAAACGCGATTACTTAAGATCTCTGACGTAAGAGTTTCACAATATGTGGTTAAAGCAGCGACAGCTCAAATACAGGAAGTGACAATTGTTCACTGCTGCCTGATGTCAACACACGGCACAATCGTATCTGCAGAGATTACAGACGACTTCAACAAACACAGAAATACCAGCGCGTGTTTGTGCGCATACTTTTCGTCCGATATCCTCATGACTGGAGAGTCCAAACACAAGGAGAAAAGTCCCGTCTCTATCATCCGCACCGACTCCTGGTTGAGTTTGTCTAAAAGACGAACAGAAAGAAAAACTTCAGTTTTACAACACGATTCTGAAAACTGTTTCTCAAAACATACATGTGGACATGTGTCGTACCTGCATGTGGGGATTTATTTTAGTCCAACATATTATTTTTGTTAGAGAAGTGATTCTACTCTTCTACTCTCGGACCGCAGACACTCATGTTCAGATCTCATCAGTGATCACTTGTCCCACCTTGATTCTTTCTTTCTCAATCACAAGTCGGCCACATCTAAACAAACAACCTCCGCCTTTTATCAAGACATGTTCTTCAGGCAGGTTAGTAAACGTAGGGCTTGGATTGTACATTTAGGTTTGAGACTGAGCATTAGATCTTCAACTTGGGAGCAAAAAAAAAAGGTCAAAATGTCGGCACCTGAAAGCTGCTTCACTGTAAACATCGAGATGAATGCACCGATAACCCCAAATAACTTAATGATTGAAAATTAAACGACAACACGTAAAAAGTACCTATTTGTTTTAAATGTCCTCCGCTGTGTGCTTATTTTAATCCAACTTTCAGATCAGACAATTTTATCTTCCACAGTTCCTCTTCCACATGGTGTCCCCCACGGCTCAATCCTTGGCCCTCTATTATTTGCTCTTTACCTACTCCCCATCGACTCTGTTTTTAAGGAAACATGGCATTTCATTTCACTTCTACGCGGATGATGACCAGATCTATTTTCCCTTGGCAAAAAACACATTCCAGCAACTTACACACTGCCTTAATGATATTAAAGCATGGCTTTCTCTTAACTTCCTTAGTCTAAATGAGAACAAGACAGAAGTTATGTTGTTTGGACCAAGTTGCTGTCCCTCTCCCAGTGTAAATCTTGGCTCATTGTCATTTTATCTCAGGGACTGTGTCACCAATCTGGGGGTGAAGTTTGAGTCCGATTTTACATTTGAAAACAGATCAGCAGTGTTCAGAAAAATTTTTAATCAACTTCGCCAAATAGCAAAAGTGAAACCAATAGCAAGATCTGACTTGGAGAAATTAATCCATGCTTTTATCACAGCTCGTCTTGACTACTGTAATGCACTGTATGTAGACATTAGCCAGACCTCTCTTGCCCGTCTGCAGCTTGTGCAGAACTCTGCTGCTCGCCTGTTAACTCAGGCACGTAGACACGAGCTCATCACTCCCATCCTGACGTCCCTTCACTGGCTCCCTGTGCACTACAGAATTCATTTTAAGCTTTTTCCATTTGTCTTTAAATGCCTGAACCCACCATGTGTGTCTGAACTGCCCTCCCCGATCCCTAAGATCAGCTGATTGGTTGCTGCTGACGGTCCCTATAACGAGGCTGAAGCTCAGAGGTGACTGAGCGTTTGCTGTTGTTGCTCCCAAGTTATGGAACAATTTACCCTCGAGTGTCAAGACAGGCCTCATCTCTTCCTGTTTTTTAAATCTATTTTTAAAATGCACTTTTATTCTTTGGCTTTTAACACGTGATCTTATCTTGTATGGCATCTTAAAACACACCTGCCGTGAACCTTTTTATGTCTTTGTGTATGCTTTGTACGTTTTTGTCTTAAAAATGTTTTGGTCTTAGTGTACAGCACTTTGGCTTCCCCTGCGGGTTTTAAAAACGTGCTACAGAAATAAAGTTGCTTGATTTCAGGAGGTATTCACTAGATGAACACCTACAACTGATCAACTTTTGGAGCCAATCCAATGATGTGGAAGCAGGTTTCTCTCACTCAGTAGCTTAAAACATACACAAATACAAATATTGTCCAAAACTACGTGGATGTTTGAGACAAACCTCTCAGCAGACGGTTGTACGCCTCCCCCCACGTGTGGCGGTGCTCGCTGGTCAGGATGCCCATCGGCTCCTTGTCGGTTTTCCAGGACTGAGACCTGATTCTCAGCAGCTGCCCGCGAATCTGACTCTCTGTCATCCGCGATCCGTCGCTGTTGTAAACCTCCAACTGGAAGAACTGCAGCGAGGAGGACGGTTTGAGCGAGACGGTTTTCAGACACAAACAGTCGACTGCACAGACCCGTGGTTAGAGTCTCTCGAAAAAGTTTTACTCACAGTAAAGATATAAACACTCATTTATTTAGAAAAGCTAAACAGCAAAGCTCACTGCAAAACAGCAAAAAAACTGACCTTCAAGACTCAGTTCGCAATGTTTTATTCTCAAAAGAAAACATTTCTTTGATGCGAGCTTAGAAATAAACATCTTTTCAAGCCTCGTGGAGGAGATTCGAGTAGAAGGATTCATCGTCTCCAACTGGTTAGGCTCACGAGTGAATCAGTCAAGCGCGGGGTTTGAATTTCAGCTGCTAACTTCGGCAAAGAATCTGCTAGAATCTGCAAATTCTGTGAGAAAACACCTCGTTCTGAGAAAAAAGTCAAAGATCAAGTGGATTCCTTCTATAACAAGAGTTTAACCATTAAAGCGTGTTACAATAATCATTAGCCTCCAACATAATAAGGTTTGACCTTTTTATTTTCACCACATAAAAAAATCTGTGACCAAATTAGGCACAGTTTGTTTTGTTACCTACTGATGGAGAGCTTTGCATAAAAAGTTAATTATAGGAACAATTTATAAAAACAGATAAGTTAGGCACTGATCTGAATGACGCCATCACCAACATTCAAATATATTTTACCGGTACCTCCAACAGAGGACCGATGGGACTCTGTCTGGCTGGTAAAAGTCTAAAAGAACATTAAGCTGCGCTGCACTCTAAGGCCAGCCGACAGAATTAACATCCAGGCTGTGTGTGAGCCTCCCCACCTTCTGGAGACGCAGTTACATTTTTAAGTGAGATGTTTGAAACTTGACCCAGTCTGAATCTTCTTCATTTGTAAACAAACAAATCCCACCTGGTAGTTCCTGACCACTGTGATGTGCGTCGGCGAGCGTCGGGCGCTGCCGTAGTGGGCGACGTAGTCGTGTTTGGGCCCGGGGATCCTGCAGGAGGAGAAGAGGAGCGGGTAGAGCTCCATGCACAGAGGCTTTCCTCGCATGTACTCCACTGGCAGCTGGCCGCTGACAGACACACAGGGAGGGAACGCGTCTGTTATTATTCATTAAAAACAGCAATTAATAGCCGATATGGAAGGAAAGAGGCAGAGTTTCGTTTAACCAGATGTGTATTACAGGGATATCAAAATTCACAAAAACAAACAAGGTTCAAACTCCAGCTGCTCAGAGCTTTTATAGCTGAACGATGGCTTCAAATTCTTGCACTTTATAATAAAATTACCTCATTTAAAGTAAACTAACACTCTTAAATTCTTTGATAAAAGACAAATCTTTGTGAGGATTTATTTGTGAGCTCATTTTAAACGAGACTGCACATTTAGCACCTAGTCACATCTGTACATCACAATAAATGATTTTTATTTAAATTCTCCAGATACTGAAGTTTAGCTGCTGGGGTTCAGCTTACAGGCCTGTAGCTAACGTTTTAACAGCATTCTGCACCCACTTTCAGATTTAAGTATAATAAAACTTACACTGAGGTGTTCCTCAGGGATCATTATTAGATCCACTAATATTCACTCTGTAAATGTATCATTTCATTTGTGTCGACCTGCATTCTGCACCTACTTTCAGATTTAAGAATAATAAAACTTACACCGAGGTATCCCTCAGGGATCATTATTAGATCCACTAATATTCACTCTGTAAATGTATCATTTGTGTCAACCTGACAAATTTAATTTTTTTCCTCATTATAAAGACTTAAGTTAGGCAACTTTATATTCATCATCACTGTATTTAGTGGCCATTTTTAGTTTAGATCTGGCTTCATAAATCTTTAATATCCAACTTGTTCTGAAACCCAAAAAGATGTCATGTGTGCAACTATTTAAAAAACACATACAGCAGAACAGAAGCTTCAAAAGTTTTAAAATACTTGAATTATCCAAAGACAGATCATCAACGATAATAGTTTCAAAATGTGTCCCATCAAACGCTTCCTGCAGAAACAGTCAAAGCTGGTATGTTTGGCAATGTGATCACACGCAGGAATCTGCTACAGCTCCCATGTAAACACCCCGTTGACACATGATATACCATTAATGATCCGGACAAGGCAGCAGCAGAGTAAATTTAGACCCAGAACAACACAGAAACACAAGGCGACACCAGCTGGGAGAAAAGCAAGAAATGAGCAGCAGCAGCATTTAAATAAAAGAACAGGAATACTTTGTGTGCAAACATGGTTATAAAGTTTAAAATACATTAAAACTCACTTGTGCATTTTGGCTTTGAAGTCCAGAACTGCTGCTATCAGTTTGGATGCAAACCTGGAAGAAAAACAAACATGTATATTAGTTTTATACCCAAAACCACATTCAGACAGTCAGCTGGTCTTGTTTTAGTTTGAAAGCCCACGTTTGTTCATCAATGGGTTTAATCAGTCAGAACATGTCCTTTGGTGACAAGTGACGCCTCTTATCAGACACATTTCCAGAGGAAAACAAAGACAGATGCTTTGACTACCGGCAGTTAATTCAGCCTAGATAACAATGGTTTAGTGGTCCAAGACATAATATGCGTTTTAAAGCTCGTCACTACATGCATAGAGGGTCCAAAACGAGCATAGTAGCAAACATTGTTTTACTTGGCTACTATAAATAACCATTTATCTAATGAAGGTTTGTGGAACTAAACATTTGTTTACAACTTCACAGCAATGGGGTTTCCTCTGTTGGCATCAGAATGTTTGGACTCACACCAGCTGGCTCTTCCAGTCGTTAAAGTCTCTCCTGGGCAGAGAGATGGCCGGGTTGGAGTGCACAGCGAGAGGCAGTCTGCTCTCCAAATATGCCCACTGCACCCACTGCTCCGTGATCTGAAACGACGCGCAGACCAGTTCAGAATTTCAATGTTAACGCACAGACTTTGAGACAATATGTTGATGAAGCAAGTGGTCTAACATGGAGGTTTGTCATCTTCAATCATTTTAAAATTATACGTGTGCAAAGTTAGTGTGCGCTTCGTTTTACTTTTAACGAACCATGCATTTATAATGGGATTTCAATAGGGTTGATTTTTTTTTTTTCCCCTGAGAAGAGGGCCACCTGCATCATGAAGGACCCCACCCACCCAGCACACACACTTTTTGCCCCACTCCCCTCAGGAAGGAGGTTAAGGAGCATTAAGTGTAGAACCACTAGACTGAGGAACAGCTTCTACCCTGAGGCTGTTAGACTCATGAATCTCTAACTAGAATAATCACTGTGAAAAACCATATCATGTTGCTGCTGATCTGTTTCATGTTGCTGCTGATCTGTTTTAATGTTGATGTGTTCATGCGTGCACATCTGCTCACAGACTCATGTTCATGTTTGTGCTGATGTTCAATGTTTTATGTTATGAGTGCTTAGTGTATATTTAGTTGATGTTTTTCTTAGTTCATATCTTAGATGTTATTACTGTTTTTCTTATACATTTTATTGTTGGATGTAACTGGGACCCTGTGTACATAATTTCGCTCCACCACATGTACCACATGAGGTGCGAATGACAATAAAGAAACTCTGACTCTGAAATACCAGAGGGCAGTAAAGTTATGGAAGCAAACGTATTGGACAAAATGTAAAAATTTTAGAAGGTTTTTTTTAAGTTTGTCAGGAACCTTCATGTTTATTAAGACACAAAAATAAATAAAAACCAATGTGTGGTTGATTCCCAGGCTTAATGAAGTTTATAATCTCTGAAATGCTTTATGAAGCACCACGTACCGGTAATTAAATATTTTATTAAATCTACATTCTCATTTTTAACGTCTACCTGTAACAGTTACTATTGTCCCTTTTCAGGATCAACAACATTAAAACTAAGATTAAAGTTAATACTTTGCAGGTTTTTTTATATTATACTTAGTTTCAAGTCAATCCTTATAAAATGTGCAGTTTCAGAGGGTTTTAATCGACTGCTAAACATACAAGAGAAATATGAAATCAAAAAACAGTGTTACTATATACAAATGTAGTAAAGACCTGTAAGAGTTTTTTCTTTCCACTGTCGCCTTCACGCTTGCTCAAGATGAGAGATCTGCGATGGAGTTAAACTCTAAGCAGTCTGCTCCTCAGACAAATAGTTAATTATTTTTATGTGTGAATGTTTCTGTTCAGTGCCCTGAGATGACTTCTGTTGTGACTTGGCACTACAGAAATAAACTGAATTGAATTGTTTAACTTGTGTCAAGTTTTTTTTATTTGTTTTGCTGAGTCACAGAGTTTAAAGGCAAGTATTTCAGGTCTGATATTCCTATTATAACTATTACTAATAGTAAGTCCTTAATTTTTCTCATGCTGGCAGTATAAAACAACACACACACCCAGTTCTTGGTGTTTCTGGCTCTTTTCTCCAGCCCCTCCTGCAGCTGCGGCCCCAGCCCGCCGGGCCTCCCGAACTCCTGCACCATCCTGCGGGTGTGGTTGAGCTCCTCGGGGGGCAGCAGGGGCTCCAGGGCTCTCAGATAGCCCTGCAGGGTCTGTGTCAAGGGGGGCACCGGCTGGGGGGGCACGGAGGAGAAGAAGCACGGCTCCTGCCTCAAGGAAACCTGCAAGGCGAATGAGAAACCGTCACGTTTTCTGCAAATTAGCTTTTTAAATTTAAACGTGAACTTGATTAAGTCTGCAGAGAGCTCCCCTGGAGTTTGACCCAAACCTGGGCGCGACCGCAGGGCGTGTATCACAGCAAAAAAATGCAACAACAAAAAAAAAACATGTTGAAAACAACATCCGCTACTTCCTGAACAAATTAGCGATTCATAAACAAGGACGTGTGCGCGCGAGAGGCTAAAGGGTCAACGTTAGCTTACAACTTGCAAAAGACCCAAACAATTAACAAAAGACTCACTCTGGTCAGCCATGCTCTGCAGGTTCTCGGCCGAATGTTCCTGAAAATCATGTTTCCTCTGATCAGAATCCCGCTGCTCGTCGCATGTGTTAGAAAAACGGCGCCTTTCGCTTCTATTTATACCCAACCCTTCAAATAGCCAAAACGAAGTCCTGACCTCCTCCTTCTTCTCCACGACGGAGGCACGGGAGAGCCCTCATCGCTCGACTAGCCAACAGCGTGAAAATAGTTGTCTTTGGAAAGAAAGGCGACAAAAACAACAACACGTAGCCCTGCCTTCGAGGTTTGCCCGTCCGAGACGCGAGCATGCGAAGCCTCACGTACAGGACAGACAACCGAAGAAGAAGGCTGCTGCTGGACACGTGCTGACGTCAAATATTTCCGTAAACAGCTGTAGTACCGCGCCTGACCGCGGAGGTCGCTGTGGCGCCTCTGAGCTCCGCCCGGACGACGGTCATCATGAACGTGCAGAAGAAGAATGGCATCGAGATCTTTTTTATTGTCTGTGAAAACAGTTTTAATACGATTTTTTTAAAATTGCGTCAGAATACTGGCTCTGTTTGTGTCTTTTGCTACTTTTAGATTCGATGATCTGTTTCTTTAAGCTCTTTTTGCAACTTTAGGCTTTTATGTTATTTTGCTATATTTAGGTACTGTAACTGCTCCCTTTAGCTGTTTTGCTTTTACCAATCATTCTGCTCATTATACATTTTTAATTTTATTTAGGTAGATTAAGTTATGATTTTTGCTAATATTAACATCTGTTTTGCTCATTTTATTTTTACTTCTGTTAACTTTTTCCTACTGTTTTTCTACTTTATGCTTTTAGCTTCCATTTGCTACTTATAGCTACCATTCTGCTACCTAGCTTTTAGCTATTGTTTTGCTACCTTTTGCTACTGCTCTGCTGCTTTTACCTACTTTTTTGCACTTTTAACTATTGTTCTTTTTCTTTTTGCTCTATCTGCTCCTTTTATATTTTAGCTTCTGTTTTGCTAATATGTTAGCTGATTTTAGCTACTGTTTTGATAATTATAGCTATAGCATCTTTATTCTAACTTTAGCTATTCTGTTTCTTTAACACCTTAGTTACTGTTCATCAGCTTTTCACTACTGTTATTTTTATTTGCTATTCTGCCATTAGCTTATGCTGTTCTGCTGCTTTTAGTTTTTATTTGTTTGGCTTGATTTAGCTACTTGTTTTAACTTATGTTCATCTTATTTCAGTCTCTGTTTAGCTTATTTTAGCCTCCACTCTTCTTGTTTTAGCCTTTGTGCAGCTTGTTTTAATTTCAACAACCATGTTTTAGGTTTTTCAACAAATTTTAGTCTTTAAAATCCACTGATTCATCCATACATGCAGGGACACTTGTAAAAACCAGCTGTACTTTGAAAAAAATAAAAGTGTAATATGATTTTATTTAAAGTAAAAGACAGAGCGATATCTAATAAGAGAATAAAAGGTGGGAAAGAAAAGACAAAATGTTTTCAGAAAACTTTATTAGCTTCTTTTTTCTTTTGAAGCCAGCTTCTTCAATTTTTATACCAATTAAAAAGTTCAGTTAAAAACAAGACATGCCATTTTTATTTATAACATTATAAATGTACCATCACTAAAAATCCAAAGTCAGCTGAAATGCACTGAAGTGCAGAACATAATTGTTTATTTAATAAAATCCTTCAGTGGTGATCATCACCTCTCCTTTTCAATAGGAAAAACCCCATCAAAATAAAAACCTTTTAAACAAGTTCATGCTCTTGACCTGAACAGTTACCAGTCTTTATAACCAATAAGGCTTCAATAAACCCTGAATGAAAATAACCTGCATGGCATCACATATTGCACCAAACCCAGTTGCATGTAACACAAACTGAAGTTTACCTTAAAGGTTTCAGATTAAATATGTTGACTGATCTTTCTGTCATCTGTATGGGCTAATCCAGCAGGCACATAAATCCAGATGACATAAACATCACTTCATCACAGCGTTGACTAAAACTGAGAAATATATTAACATAAAAGAGACTAATATATATATATTTATATCGTTTGGAAAATAAAATTTTATACCCCTCTTAAAATTGCATAGACAAGTAAGTGATCCTTCATTGCTCATCATAGCACGCATGAAGATATTTTTATACATTCACAGATGTCCCTGAACAAAAAACAGTGATATTTTCCTACAATAAACTCCCTTTATTCAAGTGCATAAGCCAAATTAAACTCGGAATCCCAGGTGCCACCAACATCCCAAGGTCTACAAACAAATATATCAAAATACAATAAAAATCACATTATTTCTCAATAAAATGTTGATGATCTCATCATATGGGCAATTTTGGTGAGGGTGACTGGTTTCTATCGAGGGCAAGCCTCATCTGAAACAGAGAGATAAAGATGGAAGGTAAATATGGTGAATATAGTATTGATCAGAATTTTTATATTATCTTCCCATCCATTAAACAGTCGCCAAGATTGAAACCGTAGCTTTCAATTTATCATTAAGACCCATTTATAAATATCTGCAAGTTATTTTCAATTGTTTAATTTATTACTTTACAGAGCTTGCCCATCGTCTACCTGCTGTCATTTAGACTACAAAATAATATTGATATTTTAAACTAAAGGTCAAAAATGCATTCTGTATTTTTCTTATTGTTAACAAATCACATGAAAAAACAGAGGCATTTAAAAATTATTATTTACAGTACCCCTAATTTTAAAAGATGGCAGAGTATAAAGTGGATTAATTGCCACAATTAAAATAAACACAAATAAAAACACTTAATTAATCGCCCAGGACATCCTTGTAAACGAGATTATTAATCTCAATGGATTTCTTTCCATGTTATAAAATAAGGTTTAAATCGAAAAATAATTGTGAGCATTTTTACTTTGATTTGTTTTCTGTAACACAGATATAAGTCATGCTGAAATTGCTCATTAAGTTGCAAATAAACACTCAATTAATCTTTAAACTAGGTATAAGTAAATTATTTAGTATTCCTGGCATCACAATTAGTCAATGTACATTTGAGACTACATTATCCTTAAAACACTGGGCCCTGAACCAATTTAAAAATAATAAATTTAATTATTTTTTGTTAATTTAATGGAGATTTACAAATGAAATTATGCATATCTCATAACTAGCATTGTGGTTTGCACAATATGCATATAACCACTTTAGCAAGAAATCTGTGCAAGCAATGCTAAACTAGCCAAATGCAAAACTGATGTAGGACTCTAGTTTTTAAATAGTTTAAAGCGATTTTTTTAATTTTACTATGTCAAAGTATAAACTGTTTAATCACAGAAATATAATGTATTAATCGGTAAAAAAAAAAAACAGTAATTAAACAGACACATTTTGAATGCTCTGTTAGCAATTAGCGTGTAAGCTAGTTAGCATGCTAACAGACACTTTGCTCACTGACATAAAGAGGCATTTCTTTCTCCTTTACTAGCTTTTATTTAATCAAATAAAGCACAATATGAGCAGCAAAATGTGAGGGGAGTAAACAACTTTTAAATAAAATTGTAAATCTGTTGAGACCAGTAAAAAAATAGCATTCTTCTCATCATTAGCTTGTAGGCAAATGCTGCTTTTCCCAGCTAATGGCATGCTTTACCAGTTGATAGGCGACTGGTTTGTAATTGAATATGATGAAAAGTTATTAAAAAGAAGATTTGCAATTCAGCCTTTTACACAAGTTTTAAAAAGAGAGAAGTCAACATAATGACATTGAGACTAATACAGTTTTATTACAATGTGATGATGATATATTGCAGCGGTGCATGAAGAGTCCTCTCTGGACTACCAATAACCTCCTTCATGAAGAGTTATTTAAAAATATAGTTAATAAGGGATCTGTTCTTTTCATGGGAGTTGTAAAAACCAATAATGATGAGAAATTTGCAGAAGGGTTTGGACTTTTGAAAGCAATGCCAATTATGAAACATAGACAGACTGATGACATCATCCCACTAAACGCTGTGTTTTCTAAGAAGGGGGTGACACTGACCCACTCTTAGACGCGTTTCTGCTGCGATCTCCCCGCTCTTCATGCTTTTGAACAATACTTCTCCTCCTTCGCCTTCATCCTCACGTGCCTCCTCTCCCTGCAGCCTCTCATTCCTCTCCAGCATGGAGTTCTCCGATGGGTACTCGCATACCTGCTCCAGCTGGTCCTCATCGAAACACACCTTCCCCTGCAAATATGAAGGCATTATTTTATTGAACTTGAATTATTCATTCATTCATTCAACCTTTATTTATATAGGTTAGTCTAATTGAGTCATGAGGACTCATTTACAAGAGAGACCTGTTTTAGACAGACAACATATAAAGTACAGACAACATGTATGATGATGTATGATGTGCGCTCATGTAAAACTTGTAAAATCTTCTCTGACAATACCAAGCATCTTATTCTGCTGTTGACTTTGTAACAAATATGTCTTAAGAAACAAGACATATGGACAAATTAATTTACTCATTTAACAAACTGGAGCCTCAGAAGCAGGTGGAAGAACCATACACAGCCACAACAGCCTGATACCACTTCATGCTGCTCACCAGCTTGGTCACACACTGTGGGATGGCATCCCATTCTCTACCAACATTTGTTGCAAGTCAGCCAATGTGTTTGTTTATAAAACAACTTATTGTCAACAACATTCTGCTGTGAAAGAACGCTAGAGTTACTAATAAATCTACGAATGTGCACAACACCGCTAGTTTAGTTTGTCACCATTTTATGCAGGTTCATATAGGTTGTACAGTCACTGTATATAGGTTATACATGTTCAGTTGAGAAAACAGCGACAAACTAAACTGTTGTGCATAAGTGTAGACGTTTAATATTAGCCAATATAGCCTTTTTTTCAGATTGGTATAGTATTATATCATATATATATATATATAATATATTATAAGTATTTATAAACTGTAATTTCGGGACTATTGAGCACACATGAATATAATCTGTGCCTGCTAAATGAAGAAAATTAAAATTTTACATAAATAGGCCGTACTTGTCTATAAGCCGTGGGTGTTCACGTTGTAACATGAGAAATTTACACAGATTCTTTTTTAAATTTTTTACTTTTAATCAAATATGTACCGGTAACATGCACAAATACAGTAAATGTTTATTTTCTGAACAGTGCCTGTAACATGGCTGATAAAAAAAAAAATACAATAGTCTACCTGAAAGTCACTGATCGCTACCCTCCAAGAGAGACGTGTAATGGGCATCTACAGTATATGAGCACCTGGGTGTGATAAAACTAAATATTTTGGTGGCATGAAGCTCGTTAGCCCATCAAAAAAAAAAAAAAAAATCCATAAATTAGCATTATATAAACCGCGGTATT